AAAAAAAAGTTGTCTGTACTTTTTATGCGACATGTTATCCGTAGTATTTTTATATTCAAATGCTCATTTATATGGTTAAGACTCTGCCTAACATGAATCCGCGGTCACAATTGATGGTTCTTTTTCTAACCTTAAAAAAATGGGTCAATTAAGGTCAGATAGCACGAATTTAAAAAAATAACAGATTCGCGCCAAATTTGGTATACGGGTGTTTTTGGGGTTGCTGATCACGGACCCGAGGTCAATTTTGAAAAATTCAATATGGCGGATCCAAGATGGCCGACCAAATTTTAAAAAAATTCACATTCGAGACAAAATTGGTATAGGGGGTTTCGGGGTCGCTGACCACGGATCCGAAGTCAATTTTGGAAAGTTCAATATGGCGGATCCAAGATTTCCGACCAAATTTTCAAAACAACAGATTCGCACCAAATTTGGCATACGGCGCCGCTGATTACGTATTCGTGGTCAGAATTGCGAAAATACATTTTCCAATATTTTTGTTTTCTTTATAACCTGAGTACCCAGTCAAGTTTTAACCTTCTTTTTTTCTTCTAATTTAACCTTAAATATTAACCTTATTGTTTGAAAATTTGGTTGGTCGCCTTAATTTCAGCAAAATTAACCTCGAATTTGTTATCAGCGATCGCGAGAACCCTCTTATATCAAATTTGGCGCGAATCTGTTATTTTTTTAAAATTTGGTCGGCAGTAGATATATGAGGCGGGTTCTGGACCAGGAAGTGACGTGGCAAGGTCACCTGGGGTCAAGGTCACCCCAAGGTCATGTCAAGGTCGCCTGGGTCAAGGTCACCTGGTGCCCAGGTCACCTGAGGTCAATGTCGCCTAGGGTCAAGGTCACCTGGGGTCTCGATCATGTCAATGTCACCTGGGGTCAAGGTCTTGTCAAGGTCGCCTAGGGTCAAGGTCACCTGGGGTCAAAGTCACACGGTCAGTGTCCATCGCTCCTTCAGCGGCTTCTTGTAGGCATTGTCGTTTTGCAAGAGATGCGTGGGTGTTGGCATTCAAGAAGTGTCATGGCGGCATGGAAGTGACGTCATACAAGAAGTATCATGGCGGTATGGAAGTATCGTTATACAAGAAGTATCATGGCGGCATGGAAGTGACGTCACATGGCCAGTTGGTGGTAAATTTAAAATTCAATCACGATAAGGGGAGGTCAATGACCTCCAAACAGCATTGCGTCATTCTTATCTGGTATTGCAGCATTCGAGGCCAAGTTTCTACAAGTTCAGTCCTGTTTGCTACAGGTTCAGACCTGTTTTCTACTGGTTCAGACCTGTTTTCTACTGGTTCAGACTTGTTTTCTACAGGTTCTAACCTGTTTTCTACTAGTTCAGACCTGTTTTTTTCCTGCATCAGACCTGTTTTTTAACATAAACTGTAACCTGATATGACTAGTGTAAGTTATTAGCCTTTTGGAATGCAGGAAGTTACCAAGGTTATCTAAAAATAAAAGACATGTTACTTAATATCAGACAGTACATTAGTTTGATAAAAGTAAAGATATTCACGTAGAGCATTACTTAATATTCATTAGATACATCACAAAAAGAACTTATAATTTCATTTATATTTAGAGAATTTTTTTAGACTTTATCCAATCATTTACAATATCTAATATAACGAGCGTTCAAATAAAAACGTGGTCAAGTTGGTTCTGAAAATTTGGACGTAGGGCGTAGCGTATAGCAAATGAACTTAAACGTCATCTGTCAAAGCGCTATATCGCCGCTATCAATTTGAATATTTTCGTTTTAAAAAGCGTTTAAAATGGTGTTTTCTCAAGAACAAAAAGTGTTTATCATAGAGTCCTACTTTAGAAATGGACGCAAGATTGATGGAATATGGAAGTATTCTATTGAGGAATGTTTCATAGAATTTCAAAATCAATTTCCCGGCGTTGTTGAGTACAAAATTTTTCAAAGTGCAGTTCAGCGTTGTGTTAATGTTTTTCGTGAAACGGGCAGTGTAACAAGAAAAGAAGGAAGCGGCCGACCTAAAAAGCGGACTGAAGAATTAAAAGAAAATGTCCAACAAATAATGGAAAATGCGCCAAGAACTTCTGTACGTGTTTTATCACAAATGGTGGGAGTATCAGTCGGTACCTGCCACACAGTGTTAAAAAAAGATTTGCGTTTGTTCTCCTATCGTTTAACTTGTCAGCAAGAACTTCATGAAGTTGATTTTCCGCGACGGGCTGTATTTTGTGAATGGTTTTTAAACAACTACGGTGAACTTCATAATATCACCTTTTTTTCTGATGAAGCCTGGTTTCATTTAAGTGGTTACGTAAACTCACAGAATATGAGAATGTGGTCTTCTGAAAAACCAGATAACTTTTTTGTCGAGGGCCCTCTACACGCTCAAAAAATTGGAGTTTGGTGTGCTCTCAATCGAAGGAGGATTTATGGACCTATTTTTTTTAATGGTACTCTTACTGCGCAAAGGTATAGAGAAGAAATTATCGCTCCTTTTGTTAACCAGCTGGAAGAAAACGAAATTACAAACTTTTACTTTCAACAAGATGGCGCAAGGGCACATACGGCAGGCGAGACGATGAATATGTTGAGGGAAGTTTTCCAAAATCGACTAATAAGTCTCAATGCTGAACATGAATTTCCACCGAGGTCATGTGATATTACGCCGTGTGATTTCTTTTTGTGGCCTTACCTTAAAAACACTATTTTTGAACTGCCTATTCCTGATTTAAACCATCTGCAGGCTCGACTTATAGACAAGATTCGTGAAATTAACAATACCCCGAGCATCTTAGAAAATGTCTTTAATTCTTTGAGGAACAGGTGTGAAAAGTGCTTGGAACAAGGAGGGGGACACTTTCAGCAGCTGCTTTAATTTATTGTTATAACAAGGAGGGGGACACTTTCCGCAGCTCCTTTAATTGTTTGTTATTGTTATCACGATTATTCTTTAAAATAAAGTTATATAGTCATTAACGTTATTGAAACTGACAGCTGCTATACAGCTCGTTGAGAAATGAGGTTAAGTTGGTCGCTATAAGCTACTCCCTACGTCCAATGTGTCAGAGCCAACTTCGACCACCTTTTTTATTTGAACGCTCGTTATTATAATAGTGCATACAAAATTCCAGCGAATCTAGCATAGTTATTCTATGCGACAGCACACAAGTATCGAGATTTAACAGTTCTTCAACATTTTGAAGGAAAAGATCGATGCACATGTTGTATTTTATGATCTGCACCATTTTCATATTTTCATAGACTAGTTGCGTAATTGTCGTGTAATCTCCACAACACACTGGTTCATACACATCAAGCCAATTTTGTAGGGGTGTTTGGAAGAAATCTTTTTTCAAACGATCCAGTAGCTCCAAGAGAGTTTGCCATTCGTAGGTAGAACATGATAATTTATTGCCATTACCATTCCTTATAATTATTGCAGGACTGAAGAATCTAGATGGACTTAATCCACACTGTATTTGAATGTTAACATTAGATATTAGTGGAAAACATTACTTAGCAAGTATATCTGCTCCCACCGTGCGGCTTCTTCGTATTTAGCCAGAATATCATCGAGAGGCTTACTATAATCGTAATTTTCCTCATCACTTAAATTAGTGGAAACTTCACACATTTTACATACAACCTGCTCGTTCGATGAAATAATTCAGACTAAATAACGTTGGTGTTCTCGATCCAGCTATTATGTTTCTTATCATTGTAAACTGATATTTTATTTCCTTTATACAGTTTTTATATTTTACAGTGTTAACAAAAATTGCAACTTGATAGTCTATTTCCTTTAATACTGCCACGCTAGCATAATCTGTATTCTGATATATTATTTCCTTTAACAGCATTGCGTCATTCTTATCCGATATTGCATCATTCGAGGTTAATGACCTCCAAATAGCATTGCATCATTCTTATTTGGTATTGCATCATTCGAGGTCAAGTTTCTACAGGTTCAGACCTTGGATCCGCCATCTTGACTTTTGCAAAATTGACCTCGAATCCGTGATCAGCGACCCCGAAAACCCCCGTACACCAAATTTGGCGTGAATCTGTTATTTTTTGAAAATTCGTGATATCTGACCTTAATTGACCCGTTTTTTTTTTTGAGTTTAGAAAAAGAACCATCAATTCTGACCGCAGATTCACGTTCGACGGGGTCTTAATCATATAAATGAACATTTGAATATAGAAAAAATTTATTTTTGTATTTTTCCTAGCACTTTTTCGTGAATTTTTGCTATTTTTGACCTGTTTTTTGAAGTTAGGAAATTCCTGTGATGTGATAGCTCAATTCTGACACCGGATTCGTGATCAGCAGGCAAAAATACTTCGGATAACATATGTGACATGAAAAGTACAGAGAACTTCTCTTGGTGTGGCTGTGTGCATGCCATTTTTTCGCAAGAAAATCAATAATAATGCGTTTTTTTACAGTTCAATAAACTTTTTCTTCACTCATCCGTACTTATCAGATGCATCACACTGTATACTGAATACTGAACGGCTAAACCGAATTAGAATTTATTCCAACGCGTCATATTGTGTATAAAAGTTTGTCACTTTTATTTAATTCCAAAGCTCCACAGCCAAATTAAAATAATTGTTTTCTCTTCCAATAATTTTAAGGTTTCGTAGCAAAGTTATTGATAACCATCAAATTTTTATTTTAGTTACGGGATTTTAAACTAAATTTATAGTTCAATGTAACCCGAAAAAATATTGTATCAAACTGGATTATTACTATGCCCTATTTCTATGTTTAAAATATGAATAAGATATCTCCAAAGAATTTTAGGATAACATGTAAATATTATATCTACCAGCCTATTTTAAAAGAGTAGTAGTTTATTATGTTATGTATTCAAAATACATAACATAATAAATTTGCTCTAATTTACATAAGTAAATATAATGCATTATTTGGAGAATGAAACTTTTCTAGTTAACAAAGCTTGAAGAAATAAAACCATTTTTTTTATTCCAGGTGATCTGTGTAGAAGGTTACAGACAGACAGAGAAACCGGTTTGACCGTAGAACAGGCGGCAGCAGTTCTTCAAAAGACAGGACCAAACACACTAACCCCCTCACATAAAGTCCCAGAATATATTAAGTTTATTAAGACATTAACTCACGGTGAGTAGATATTTTTTAATAGTAGTGCTAAATTTGTCAAAGACTTAAAATTACGAGGCATATCCACAAAGTACTGACACTCTGATGCTCTATGGTTTTTGTTTTCAACAAAGTTGGCAACACTGCATTCAAGGCCAAGGTGTTGGAAGCAGAACATACACTCATTTGTTTGTCAATTGAGAACTGTTGTTGTAGTGGCGTGTTGAAATGTGTGCCGCTATTCCGAATTCCGCCATTTACGAGGTGAGAAGCGTAATCCGGTTTCTTTTTACAAAGGGAAAGGCGCCGATCCTGATTTTTAACGAAAAATTGTTTATGGGGATGGTGTGATGAATTGTCGTTAGATTTTTTTTGACGAAGATATCAGAAAGCTCATCCCTCGGCTCGCAAAGTGCATTGATATTGAAGGCGACTACATCGAAAAATAATGTTTGATGTACCTTTCTGGATATATAAATTTTTCAAAATATGCTGCTGTATTGATCTTTAATAAATTAAGCACTCTTTCTTTGTAGGTATGCCTCGTATATTAATTCAATATTAGTTATAAGACTTTATCTCTATGAATATATAGTTTTTAGTTAAATTAATAATCTCTCATATATGTGAAAAATAAAAAAAATATCTGAAATAACTACCTACATTAAGGTTTCAGAAAAAAATGTCAAAATTACTTACAAAACTTATTTATTATATAAAGTAATTGTTAAAATATTATTTTTTCGCGTCAAGAATTTATAAACATATTATTTTGTTCAAGTAAAGTTTATTTGTTGTCGAAGAATACAGGATAGCGATTTTTCAGGTATTTGCACACAAATATAATATCACTTTTTAAAAATTTATCTTTGAAACCAAAATAAAACCAAAACCACTCTTAAAGGTTAATATTTTTCTCATAAAACAATTTTTTTTTAACTGTTAATAAAATAATATAAATTATTATCATTACTATTATAACAAATTTCGATGAGAAATTCTTATAGGTGTGGTAATTCTTCTATAGAAAATACCTATAAAGTATCGGATGTTTACAAAATGAGATTAATAGGTAAAACTTTGCTTTTTAACGATAGAAACAATTTTAAACACTATATTAAGCTTTTAAGTGTTAAAATACATAGCTTTATACCAAATATTTGTAAAATATTAATTACAAGGTATACAAAACATCCAGTATCCTTGATGCAAGGTTATTTAAAATATACTTACGGTAGTTATTTAAATAATCTAATCGAGATTATTAAAATATTACTCGTAAAGATATAGCTGTATTTCGTCACCCACTTCATATCAAATTATTAAATATTTTTGTTAAATACACCACATCGGAATCTATTAATAAATGCACATCTATTTCTATTTCATATCAATTAGTGTGGGGATCATAAACTATCTACAATTATTGCTACACATTGTATAAATATATTAACACCTACCAGTTTGAAATATTTGTAACAGTAGTGAATAATTTTAATTATCTAAAATTTCAAATAAATCGTATCTTTTTGACTCGTTGATGATCAGTAACTTCTATTTGCCTGGCAAATGTCTAATTAAATGTTATGCATTTTCAGTAATAAATTTTGATGTTTCGAGGGTGCTCTAACTTTATTACATTACTAGTAATTTATTATTTGGGTAACACTAAATGGTATATTTGAAATTTCAAATTTAAAAAATCCCAGAATTCTGTAGCAAAGTTGTAGATTCAGAAAGCGATTAACATATTTTCTAGTTCAACTTTTAAATATTTCGACACTGAGCTTTTGTTTTTAAATAAAAAAAAATACTGCTGGACTTATACCACAGAATCTGTAATAGTCCAATTAACTAAGCCTTTAAATCGAAATTTTGTCAACTTGGCTGAATTTTTGATATGAGTTAGTTTAAGGTATATTATAACAATAAGTGAGAGTAATTTTTTGTTCAACCCCCGGCCAAGGGTGGAAAAAGATAAAACAAAGGGCTTTGTCAAGATAACTCAAAAAGGGTAAGAGCTAGAAAAGTTGTAAAGCAGACAATTCTACATAAAAATGGTCTCTTAGCTTTTTCTTGTACTATTAAAATTAACAGAGTTAGGGAGGCTAGAAGTTAAGGGAAGATTTCAGAAATTTAATTTTGTTAAATCATTAAAATTAACGATTAAAAATTTGATTTTTTGTTATAACTTTCTTATTAAAAATTAAAAAATATATCTATTTCTCTGAAAAGAAAAGTTACATATTTTAGAGCAGATTGAAAAAAAAAATTACAAAATTCAATCATTTTTCTGTTTGTTATGATTTTTTTTTAAATTTCTGAAATCTTCCCTTAACTTCTAGCCTCCCTAACTCTGTTAATTTTTTCTAGCTCTTACCCTTTCTGAGTTATCTTGAAAAAGCCCTTTGTTTTATCTTTTTCCACCCTTGGCCGGGGGTTGAACAAAAAATTACTCTCACTTATTGTTATAATATACCTTAAACTAACTCATATCAAAAATTCAGTCATGTTGGCAAAATTTCGATTTAAAGGCTTAGTTAATTGGACTATAAACCAGTAGTTTCATTCTGTTGTCAGCACTTTGATCGCACTCAACCGTATGCGGCCTCTTTGGATGGAGAAGCGCTGATCAGGGCCGTAATAAGAATTTTTTACTTATTCAGGAAATAAATGATAATCGTGGTAAATATATAATTTAAAAATACTAAACTGCAGGTAATACTTATACGACGCGTATACTGATTCTAATTCTCTCTAATAATTGATAAACTTACATTTTACGTGAAAATGTTAGAGTATGTATTAACATTGACAAAATCCTCGGAAATTTGTTTTGTATCACGTTGTACCAAAATTTCTTGTCATTAATGCTAGCAACTGTATTTTATATTTGTAATACACAAGCTTTTATTATTTTGCATATTATTTTCAGCTTGTTATTTAATAAATTATAAAAAGTATAATTGTGGGTACCTACGTATTTTTTGCAAACTAAAAGCGATAGAATAAATTATATAATTCCATGATAAGTTCTCTTCTACAGAAAATACGGTCCGAAATGCTTCTTTGTGAATACTATCGTATGTCCCAAAATTCACCCAAGATTTGAATTTTGCGCCGTTTGTGCTATAAAGTGTTGCCAACCAAAAAAAATATAGCGTGACAGCTGACAGTTTAGGGTTATTAAAATTGCGCTCACGAAAGAACAAGGCGTTTTCATTGTTGAACAATATTTTAAAAATAATGAAGATTTGGCAGCTACAGTTCCCAATTTTCGTACAAAATATGGTCGAAATAGTATTTTAACTTCATCAACTCTGAAGAAATTATTTGAAAAGGAGCGGGATTGGATCAGTTACTTAAAGACCTTGACCGTCCTTCAACAGGTCGTTCAACACAAAACATCGAAGCAGTTCGTGAGAGTGTTGCTGAGTCCATAAAACATCAATTCGGCATCGTGGTCGAGAATTGGACATTTCGAGAAGCTCTCTACAGCGTATTCTCATGAAACAATTGCATCTTTATGCTTACAAAGTTCAATTGACTCAAGAACTGAAACCTACTAACCATGCAGAGTGAAGAGAGTTCGTTGAATCGATTATGGAACAAGTGGATGCTGATTTTTCGAACAAATTCATCTACTACGATGAAGCTCATTTTCATCTTGATAGAGTCATTATTCGACATAATTGCCGAATTTAGCGTTCAGAAAATCCACCAGTGACTGTGTTGAACAACAAGTGGTCCACAACGTGTCAGTGTTTGGTGCGGACTTTGGGCAGCAGGTATCATCGCACCATTCTTCCTCGAAAATGCGGCTAGTCAGGCAACAACAGTCGGCCGGTTGTCCTATAGATGCGTTTTCGTCCTAATTATTTTCGTCAGAAATCGGACTAATAATTTTGTCAGATTTCGCCCATGTGGTATCATCCACTGGACAAGTTTTTGCTTTGCACGAAGTGTCAGTCGTACATACTGATTTATCAAATCAGCATATTATAATTGTTAATAATATGGATGATTATCTTTTTGGAAAATAGTTGCCTTCTTAGACAACGATTAAAGATTAAAAGTGTTGGGTTAGTGACATATTAGATAAACGAAAAGAATTCGGAGAATTTCATCATTTATGTGATGATTCGCGCATCACATGTTATCGTCCGAATGAACTTGGACACAGTGTACGACCCCCAATAATAGGTTTAACTGAAATGGGTTCATTCGCACTTCTTAGTCCGATTTTTGACGAATCTAATCCGGACGAAAACGCATCCAAAGGACGATCGGCTTCAATGGTGCTCGCTATGGTAACATGATCCAGTTTTGTGTTCTTAAATTGCAGGATATGGATGTGGACGACCTGTGGTTTCAACAAGACGATGCCATATGCCATACAACTCGAGAAACAATTCAATTACTGCAGGAATCATTTCCTGGTCGTGTAATTTCCCGTTTTGGTGGTCAGAATTGACCTTGCAGATAATGCGATTTAACGCCGTTGGGCTTTTTCCTTTGAAGTTTTTTGAAGTCTAAGGTATATATCAACGAGCCCACGACCACCCACGCCTTGAAGGAAGAAGTTGAGCACTGTATAATTTTCTTTTTCAATTTATTGCAAATATCTGTAAAATATTNTATGGTCGAAATAGTATTTTAACTTCATCAACTCTGAAGAAATTATTTGAAAAGGAGCGGGATTGGATCAGTTACTTAAAGACCTTGACCGTCCTTCAACAGGTCGTTCAACACAAAACATCGAAGCAGTTCGTGAGAGTGTTGCTGAGTCCATAAAACATCAATTCGGCATCGTGGTCGAGAATTGGACATTTCGAGAAGCTCTCTACAGCGTATTCTCATGAAACAATTGCATCTTTATGCTTACAAAGTTCAATTGACTCAAGAACTGAAACCTACTAACCATGCAGAGTGAAGAGAGTTCGTTGAATCGATTATGGAACAAGTGGATGCTGATTTTTCGAACAAATTCATCTACTACGATGAAGCTCATTTTCATCTTG